TCCACTTTGTCCACTGTTAGTTCCCATTATCTCAGAAAATATTGAAAGTGTGCCTGATGATATTGCAGAATATTAAAAAGATCTGAAGGGTATATTCCCAAATAAGAACTCCCCTTAGGATATTATTTTAATTCCCTAATCCCACATTTCCCTTCCAAAAAGGCTGTTGAAAACAATCTTGTTTATATTATTTATCTTATTTATACATTTATTTATATATATACTTATATATATATTTATGTATATTATATTATATTTATATATATTTATATACACATTTTATATATATTATATATATTTATATATATTTATTATATTATATATATAAATATATATAAATATATATCTATAAATTAATATATAATATATATTATATATATAAAATATATATAAAATATATAATATATATAATATGTATTTATTATATATAATATTATATATTATAATATATATTGTAATATATTATATATATTTATTATATATTTATATTATATTATTATATATTATATATATTTATGTATATATAGTTTTTATATATACATTTATACAATCTTATTTATACATTTAAGTGTCAGGAGGAACAGATCTCATTTCATTAAGATTTTCCTGACAGCTCCTGTTGACACTTTGCTAATATCTGTTACCAGCCATAAACACTTTTATAAAGAGAAAGATGGAAATTACTGTTTTCTAAGAGGGGAAAAAAATATTTCCTTGCAGATTTCTGTTCTTTAAAGTCTTGTCAGAAGATATAATCCTGCTCAGGTCTGCCCTACCAAAAGCAATGAAGGATCACCTGCATCTCTAATTGAGCCCAGAGCAAAACTCAAACTGACTTCAGTGCCAAGGACTGGCCCTCCCAGAGTCACCAACTCTGTCAGGAATGGCTGAGTAATGTGAGGAGTGAGGAAACCAACCTGTGAGTCAGGCAAATGATCTCCACTCATCCTGGTAATTTTGATGGCAGAAGGTGGAAAGACAGCTCCCTAGACCCCACTGCTGGCAGGGTGGAGAAAAGCTGGCTCAGGAGGCACTGCCCCTGCAGGGAGGATGCATGGTGGGACAGGGGCAGAGACCAGCGAGCTCCTGAGGGCAGGAATTCCCAAGTGCACTGAGTAGGAATGAAGCAGCATCCTGCCTTTGCCACATCAGAGGCTGTGTGTGCACCCTGCTGGATTTTTATCACCCCTTTGAGGCAGGACACTGATTGAATCACAGAGGTCAACAAATAGTCCTGTGGTTTTGGATGTTCATTGTGTGTTTCCATAGCTTGGTCAGTGCTGGAAGGAATTGTTCAGGTTGTTTCACAGGCCTGGAACAGCAGCATTTTCCCTGCAAAATCCCTGAACTGCAAAAGTGTCCCCCTCCTAAGAGAGAGTAAACTCCAAGGAGAAACAGGAGCATAACTGGCCTTAAAAGTGCTTTTTGGCCATTTCTCTCTGCAGAAGAGCTGAAAAATCAAAAGAGGAGCTTAAAATCAAAGTGAGGACATGCAAGGCAGGATAAAAGGACATCCAGGGCTGTCCTCTCCCACAGGAGGCACCTTCTGACACCTTCATTCCAGCAGCCTTTTCCTTCCCTCTGTTGATGTCTTTCTCTGTTTTTAAGCACCTCTGGCAGCAATGGGTTTTGGTTTTAGTGCAGCTCTGGCTCCCTGCAGGGCTCCTGTCAAACGCAAACCAGGAGTTTCCTAAGGGTCACTCACAGCTGTGGCAGCTTCTGCTGTCCCTGCCAGGATGACTGGCAGTGCTGGCAGCTGCCAGCTCAGCCAGCAGCAAGGGCAGAGCAGGTGATCAGCAAAAATTACCCTCTCGGGACTTTGGACAAATGACATTTGTATAGAAGATCAGCAGGACCTTAGGAATATTGGTCCTTTGACAGAAAAGGGAAAAGAACAGGAAAATAAGGATGATAGCAGACCTCCTTTCAACAGTGACATACCCGACGCTTAAATTTAATCTGACATTGAAGTGTATCCAAATTCAACTGCAAGACAAGAAACTACAAAATAAATTCTTGTCATTAATTATGTATAAGCTGTAGCTGTCCTCACAAGGCAGTTTCTAGGTATAGAAAACTTTAAATGATGCCTCCCTCATTTAAGTAAAATGATCCTGTTGCAAAGACATTTATTCTATCTGCAACTTCTAGGTACTGAGTCGTTTAACTTCTATAAAGAAAGAGTTCTTAGCTGCTTCTCAAGAAAACTGAGCTGCTTCAGACCCTCTTCCTTCTTCAGAGTTCTGAAACAATAAGCAAGAGCAGTTAATGATCATTATTAGTGGTCATCCAGGGGAGTGGCTCTGATGTCTTGTCACTGATGTCTTGTCACTGCTTCCTGTTTGTGTCACAGCTGTTCCCTGAGCCACATCACCTTCCAGGGCAAAAGACACGTCTGGTTATTTTTGTCCTCGAGTTTAACAGGCAGCACCTCCCTATGCATTCCAAACATTAATTCCCTTGTCACTCTGAGCCTCAGTATCTGCTTAGAATTAATTTTCCATGACAGACCAAGTGAGCACTTTTAAAATTAGAGACATTACCTTATCATAGCTAAAAGAATTTAAGCCAGTCTTAGGTGCAAGGGAGAAACAGAGGCATCACCAAGATGTGCACTCATGTCAGCTCTGCAGGAGATGAGCAGAGCAGTAGTTTGCATATTCTGCAATTGCTTATTAACAGTACATTATGCAAATTGGGCTTCCCTAGTCAAATGCTGGGAGTGTGCAGGAAAGAGAAATAAGCATACAGTTTGGAGTCAATAAATGTATCATGCTCTGCCAGCTAACAAAATTTCATTTCAGCATTCTTAACTGCTTCAAAGGCAAAGTGCTCTCAAATGAGTAACTGATGTTAACTCAGAAGCTGGAAGGGTTCCTGTGAACAAAGAGGTATTTAGCAATAGTCTCTTCCTTTTTCATCTTTACCCAACTGAAGTCAAAAAGAGACTTGCCACAGAAGGGACACCTTATTACTATTCATACATTATTTAAATACTTCTATTTAGATTCCTGCCTATGGAAGGAAGAAACCCACCTGAATATGGTGTATCTTTGTATAGTGATGACCCTGTTTTTCTTCTGGTTTGGGTGATGGAGCTTTGATTTAAGGCATAAGATGACCTCCACTCATTTTCCAGCCACTTGCCAATCCTGTCTACCTCAGAAGCATCACCTGCTCTGCCCAGTGCCTGAATAGCTCACTGCTTTTCACCAAGCATGTCCTTGTCTGGCTCCTCTTGTGAATGCTTGGCCATTAAAATACTGTGCAAAGTGATGGTGAGGTGATTTGCCTGACTCCTGTAGGAGAGAAAACAAAAAGTGGACTGGTATTTCTGAACATCAATAAACGACCTAAAATGAAAGAATCTAGGTGGAGGAATTGGTTTAAAATCTAAAATGTTGTTTTCAGGCCAGACCAGCTGAACTATTGGGAGCTCTCAGAGGGGCTGAGGGAGTCTCGGGTCACATCCCAGATGTCACCAGTTTCAAAAAACAGAAGGCACTGTCTGGGAAAAGCTGAGGGGAAGAGGCAGAGGGTTGGAGTGACCTCTGGAGATCACCCAGTCCAACTCCTGCCAAGGCAGGGTCACCCAGAGCAGTGACACGGAGCACATCCAGGTGGCTCTGGAATGTCTCCAGAGAGGGAACTCTGTGTCCTCCCTGGGCAGCCGTTCAGAGCTCTGCCACCCTCAACATAAACAAACTCTTCCTCATGTCAAAGTGGAACTTCTTGTGTTTTATTTCATGGCTGTTGCTCCTCATCCTGATGCTGGGAACTGAACAGTGTCTGGCACTGTTTTAAAAGGAGCCTGGGCAGTGGTGGGGGGAAATGTTGAGAAGAGCTTTAATATGTGAAACAATTAACAGTTGATGGACAAACTCTGGGTGATGTCCATGTGTTAGAAAAACCAATTAAGAGTTTAGGGCTTGACATACTTTGTGCTCTCAGACCTGGAGAAGGAAGTCAGCAGAGCCTGGGAGAGAAATTTATTGTTGATAACTGAACAGAATTCATAAACCACATTACATAAAGCAGAAATGTCCTATCTGGGAAAAAGATAATAAAAAGACTGAAAAACGCAGACTAATTAGCATGAGAAGTGAGAAATCAATAACAAATAGAAGACAGAATACTAATTAATGAAGAGAACTATGTGAATTGTAAGCTAATTAAATTAATCTCTTCACTGAAATGTATAAATAGATAAGCATTTTGATGGCTGACATTCATGTTGTGGGGAGCCATCCCCGTGTTCCTTCAACACCAAATCACAAATGTGAAAAACGCCAATCACCTGGTTTTAACACTTTAAGAGTTTAATAGTAATAAAATGGTCATAAAAATAGTAATACAATTCGAGTAATAATAATTTGGACAAATTGAATTAGGACAATATGAGACAATAAAGACAAAGAGTTACGGATGTCCGGGTACCTTTTCTGGGCAACACGAGCCCGAAAAAGGACCCACGTTAACAGAGGATTAACCCTTAAAAGCAATGGCCTGTTGCATATTCATACACCTCATACATGATGCATAAATTCCATTCAAACACAGGATTCTGTCTGGTCATCGTCACCTTCTTCCTCTGAATCCTAACAGCGCCTTCGAGGCGGGAAGAAGTTCATTTCTCCTGATAATGGGGCAATAAATTCTTCTTCTCTGAAAGATTCAGGTGTCCTGTGGCTGCTATCTCGCTGCGAGTCCTTTCTTTAAAGAAAAGCATCCTACATAGCATAGTTTCTATTTTAACATTTTTCATAACCTAAAACTATATTTAACGCACTAATTAAGAGAATTAATACAGCATTACTTTCTAACACAACACATATCATATTCATTTGAATATTTGCGAAAAGCCAGTCATAAAATACATGCATTTTCACAACGAACGCTGCCTTTCCAACAAGCAGCTTGCAGAGTTCGTTTTTATTTCCCGGGGCTGGGGTGTCCGGGCAGGCCCCGCTGAGGGCCGCGCTCGCTCGGTTGTCACAGCGACGGCGACGCCGCGGCCATGTCGGACCTGGGCTCCGAGGACGCCGAGTCCGGCGAGGCCGGGAAAGACATCGGGGTCCGCGGGGCCCGGGGGCAGCGGGGAAGGGAAGGGGGAAGGGAAAGGGAAGGAACAGCCGTGCTCAGTGCCCGCCAGGCCGGGCAGCGTTGCCGAGGGCAGCCCCGGGCACGGCTGTGCCACCTCCCGGCTTCTAACACGGGTCTTGCACAACGCGTCCGCCCTTTGCAGCTCTGTGCCAAGAAGCCTGGGGGTACCGGGGTCTGGAGCCGAGCCGGAGCGGCTTTCCTCAAACACCTGTGTCCCTCTGATGAGTTGGTTTGTGCCCGGCCCGGCCCTTGAACCCTTTCCCTCCCGTTTGGCAGGAGTACGAGGGCGATCGCGATGGCGAAGGGCAGCGGCACGGGTTCGGGAAGGCGCGGCTGCCCAATGGTGACACCTACGAAGGGCAATACGAGCATGGTTTGAGGAGTGGACATGTAAGACACCGAGCCTGGTTGTGGTTCTGCTTCTGCAGCTGGGCTGTTTGGGCTCTGTATTGAAACAAGGGTGAGAACTGAAGGGTGTTTCATCTGTACCAAATGTGTTTCAGGGGACCTACAGGTTTAAAAACGGTGCTCTCTACACCGGGGACTACCTTCAGAACAAAAAGCATGGCAAAGGTGTCTTTTTTTATCCAGACGGATCGAAATATGCAGGTAAAGCAATGAACGCAGTTGGAAGGATTTCTGTTGCCAAAAGGATACATTCCCCCCCCACTCCTCCTCCCTCAACAAATGAAAAGAGAGAGTGAATTGGAGAATGTCTTGTTTTAAGAAGATACAGGATATTTTCCAACATATATTTCTACAAAATATTTTCTTCTCATTACCTTTTTATTAACAGTTCTGAGAAGCTTGGGGTTTATTTATGAGAATTTGTGTTAGGACATTTTTTAGGTCTATAATTAAAAAAAATAGGCTTCTTAATAAAGCCCTTATTTAGGAATTGGGACACCTGAAGTTTGAAGAAGTAATGAAAGTTAGAGTTCCCCTGCTTGCTGGAGAGTACCTGAAACAATCAGAATCTATTAGTAAAGTTTCAAAGAACAATATTTTCCTCCTAATTTCTAAGCTAGGAAAGAAAAGACATTCACATTGTGAGGGTGAAAAGCTGAGAGCAAAAAGAGCAGTCCAATCTTGCCTTGCACGAACATATAGTCTGAGTTGGTTTTGGGTATTGTTTTTTTAAATTTATTTTAAGTTTGATTAGAAGAATAATTAAGATAGAAACCATCCAGCATCCTTCTGAATAGATGTGCTCCAGTACTGACAGGACAACTTCAGAAAATGAGGCAAATTAAAGTAGCTCCTCTTTAAATTCATGTGGAAATGTCCCATTATCTAATGCAACTGTAATACATTTCCCAATTCAAAGACAGGACTGGGTTTTTATGTGTTCATAATGGTAATAGAGAGTGATAATGAAGGCAGGTAATTATGGAAAAATGGAAAGGGACGTCAGGCAGCAGCATAAATACTTGTGGAGAGGAACAGACTGATGAAAAAAGAGCAAGGGATTCTACTTTGGAGTAAGGAGTGGTGTAAGGAATAGTGAGGAATCCCAGCACTGCCCTAGCTTTCTTTTCTTTCTCTAATACTTGTATGATAATGTTACAAACTGGCTACTGTGAAATAAACCAGCTCTCACACTGCTTTTATCCTTTTGTCCTTGAAGGGGACTGGGTGCATGACCAGAGACAGGGCTATGGAGAATATCTGTATGCAAATGGAGACACCTATACTGGAGAATGGGCTAACAACAAGAGGTTTGTTTCCTTCTCACAGAGATGCTTCAGGTCACCCAATGGCATTAAAATGCAAACATTATTTTCAGAGCATGTCTGACTGCAGCAAATTAGGTCCAAGGGTGACCTTGGCAATCTAGACCAGCTTGAGTAGTTTCAGCTGCTTAATTAATACAGTTTTTGTGTCTTAATTATAACAACAGCCTAAATTCTCAATATTCACTGGCATAAAACAAAATTATTATTTTCTCCCTAGGCATGGGCAAGGCACATATGTCTATAAAGAGACAGGATCTAAGTATGTTGGTTGTTGGGTTAATGGAATCCAGAATGGACCAGCTGAACTTATCCACCTAAACCACAGATTTAAGGGCAGGTTTCTCAATGGAAAGGTAAGTGTGCTTTCTATTCTGAACAGTTAGCATGGAATTGCCTTAATATGACCTATTTCCACTTAAAATAATAAGCTAGGCTTCTGATTTTTTGTAGTATTTCCTGTACCATTAGTGTAACACTTGAAACTGAATTATTCTATAAACACAATGTCAAGTTTCTTTGCAACATTGCTTTCCAACTGTAGTGTTACTGACTATTGCATGGAATTTGCAGTAAAGGATATTTTACATTTCTGTGCTTAGAATGGATCAGCTGTTCGGTTCTCCTGATGTTTTTGTGTTTTTATGCAGCCTTTAGGTCGTGGCAAATTCATCTTTGATATTGGATGTGAGCAGCATGGTGAATACATACAACCAGTGCAGGTAAAAGAAACAGTGCAAGAGCACTCAGTAAATCAAATCTGTTGTTGAGGAATATATAAAATGCCTTACAGACAGTGATGTGATCTTTTGAGTCAAAAAGGGTGGAAACTCATGCATTTTAAGAGCTAAATGAGGTTTCATTTTGTTTTTAATGTTTTCTACTGTGTAACCTTAGAAAAGTACAAGGTGTGATTTTGCACTGCTTGCAGACATTAATCCTTTCTGCTTAAAAAGAATCAGGACATTTCCAAAACATTTGAAGCTTCAAATCACAGAGGAATATAGATATTTTTGTATACACATTTAGCCTCTATTGCATTTTCTTCTCAACACCAGAAAACCATGAGCAATATTTTTTGTGTTTCTGAACTGCTTGGTGCTATGCATACAAATGGTAATTTCCAGCAGGGTCATATTTGGGAAATATGTACTATTGCTGTTCTGGTCATGTTAGGAGCTTAATATCCACAGCTTCCAATAATTGTAGTGAGTGGTTGGGATCAAAGTCTGTTTTCCCTTCTTTGTGCATGAATGCTTTGAAACATATCTGTTTGATATGGTGCAAAAATAGCTAGAGAAGTAGGAAATATATTTTAATATAACTGTTTGATTTTTTAAAAAATTGCCACAGTTTAGCTTAGAGTTTGCTACCTCTGTTGTCTGACACATTAGTTCCTGTTGCAGACTCTGAAAACTCTGTGATGCAGCAATCATTCTGAAGGATAAAATAAGAATCATCAAAATCCTATCAATTGTGATAGATATTTGCAAAGTTTGGAGGCTGTTTTGCTTTTTTCTGGTTCTAAAAGCAAGAGATCCTCAAATTAAGTGTCAGATTCATGGGAGTATCCAGAGTAATGTGTGTTTCCTTATTTCAGTTGGGAATTCTTAGATGTGTCTTTAAAGCAAGGCACAGTGCTGTCACTAAAGTAACATTAAATTTTGCCCATTTGCTTTAGTTGAAGTAATTATAGAACAAAGCCCATTAAAAAAAGGAGAAGAAATAATAATGCAGACAATGGTTCAATTATTGACTCCTTCATATTTGTAGAAAAAACATGATTTTTTTTAAATTTAAAAAATATTTTCACATTTCAAAACCATAAGCTCTGTGCACAACCTTACTCCTTCCTAGATCCTTTCAAATGTTCTCCCTAGGCAAAGATTGAGGCAGAAACAGCTGTTTTTTCATTCTGTTTCTGTGTGAGACAGTGCAGCATCTACCAGACAGAGCATCAGGTAGCAATCATCAGTAACAGCCAACTGTTTTCATCAGGGTTCAAGAACTTGGTAGTTCTTGTCCAAGATTTGCAGCTGCTGAAGTTGCTCCACCTGTAAATACTTTCATTGCCATTTTGATGCCACATAAGGAGGTTTTAGTAGACTAACCCATCATTTTAGTTACTGTCTGTAGGATGAAATCCTGGATTTCATTAATTCTCTTCTAGGAAAAAGAGGAGGAAGATGAGGACGAACCACCATTACCTCTTGAACCAATATGGAAAGTATCAGAAATTACTAAATTAACACCCTGGTCTCCCCATGATGAGGAGCTGCTAGTCCCCAAGGAAGCTGAAGGTGGAGAAGCTGAAGAGGAGGAAATTCCATCAGCTCTAGGTTGGTTCTGGAAACACCTGGAAACTCCATGTTTTGACTATGGTGACCATTGTTTTAGGGGTTTAATATCAGGTGATGTGAGAGCATTTTTGTGTTTTGTTTTGTTTTTCCTGTGATTTTCCATGTATTGAATATTTGGAACTTCCAAGTCCATTCACAAACTGCACAATATGTATGTATGTGTTTTATTTCACATAGCATGAGATACAACTGTCTTGGAAAGCCTGTGAGTTACTTGACTATATCATGGCTTATTATACAAACCTGCTTATAAACAGAGAAGATTTTGTGGGATTTCTCATGTGAACAACAACTGCAGCCTTCAGTAGGACTTAGGAGCTATTTCTTGGAAACAAAGGCTGAATGCAAATTTGTAAAATTGGTTTTCTTTGGTATTTCTAATTTCTTATATTTCAGATGCTGAGGAGGGTGAGGATCACCCAGAAGGCGATGCAGGAGGGGAAGGTGAGGAAAAGAGAGAGGAAGAAGTAAATCAAGATCAGGAGGATCAAGGTGAGAAATGGGGCACATGTGCACATTCTTTAATTAACAGTCAGGGTTTGAAATTGTGGATGTCAATCAGCTGAAGCCATGCTGCTATTGGGAGACCATGGGAATCTCTGCCTTTCATAAGGAGGGCAGTCCTCTATGAGAAACTGTGAGAAGTAAATTCATATACTGCAACAGAACAAATTAAAAGTGACACTTCTGTGCATATACACTTGACACCACCTGCAGAGTTGAATTTGTAAGAGATTGAATTTCCAAACTGTGGGGTTTTTTAACAAAAATGAGACAAACTGTGTCAGATCCTGAGAAGTTCAGGAGTTTTGAGCACTTCACTTTTCTCTCATGAATACAACTGTGTATTCTTAATTCTCCCAAGTGTAGTTCAAAAGCAGGTAAAACAAATATGAAGAAACAAATTTTTGGTGTAGTTATATATTCTGGTTTGAATAGTCTTTAGTTGGTTTGTTTCTTCTACAAACCAAGGAGATCTGAAATCCAGGTGCTCAGGTTTTCTTCCAGGCAGTTTAGAAGCCTGTTTTAAATACACGGTTACAAGCAGCAACAGGGATGCATCCATGTTTACTCATATTTAGCTTATATGCCTCCAACCAATTGTGTCCTTTGTATTTATTCCTAAAATTTACAAGCTTGCCTATCTGATATAAAAATATCAGCTAAATGTATCTATTTGTAATCAGTCCATTTTACAATAAATCCAAGCCAACCACTGTCTTTATGGATTAGAAAATACCTTAAACCATATGAAAATGCCTGGAGGTATACACTAAACATTTAGGTCAGCTCTTGTAGTTTTCAGTTTATTCGCTTTTAATTTTCTGAGCACCAGCTCTGAAGGTGCTCTCCAGCTTCAGGGCAGAACAGGCATCTGGCTGACCTGGTGTGTAGGACTGACATTTTACAGGGTCCCTGGACTTGAGTCAAATCCATCAGAAATCTCAGCAGATTATAGCTCTGGATTTGGCAAAAGTGCATTGAGCCTGGTTTGTCTCAAAGACCCTTGGAATCAAATAACCATTTGGACTGAACTTGATTCTAATAAATTTTCTGGCCCACCACAACAAAGCAGTTCTGGTTTTCCCAGTGGCTTTTCTAGGGTGTTTTTGAGAACAAATGAGCCCAGGTGTCTGTCAGATATGGCACAGAGGCAGATGCCAATGCCTGAAAACACAGCAAAGTAATAGATTCAAAGTTCCCTCCAACTCTTTATTTCCAGAATCAAGTTGGATGATTTTAAACATTTTTCAGCATTGGTCTCCATCCATAATTAATGAGGCAACATGTTGTTCCCCTTGTCTTTAGATTTAGCAAGATTAAGTTCTAGGAAGAGGGAATGATGTGAAGAAAATATGCATCCTATGAAGAGCAGATATAACAAAATCTGTTTACTTTGCAGTCTGGTATTCCCTGCCTCTTTACCATAATTTTTTTTCCAGATAGAAATTTCCACACAGAAATTCCCTCTTTTTAGTTTTGCATTCCTTATGATATCATCTAACCAGGAGGCATTTTTGGCTGCTCAGAGTTACATATGGGCTGGCTGGCAGTCAGTGTGGGTGTACTGAGTCTGTCTGCCAGCTGACAAACAATGTAAACAATTTCAATTCAACTACTGGCATTGAAAGGCAGTGGGTGAGGAGGACTGAGGTGGACAGCAGAGTTCCAGAGTTATGTTTTAGATTACTGGGATTATTTTCCAGTGTTTTATAATAAAATGCATCTCTATGCCCTGTCTTCCCTTCTACTCCACAGAAATTACTGATTTTGGAGGATGAACCAGAGGAATCAGAGGAATTGGGTATAATTAAAGGAAAAGACCCAAAAAAAAATTTTTAAAGTAGATGATTTTGTTTGGTAAGCCTTACAAATATTTTTATTTGTAAAAGGTTGTGTTAAGATGTTTTGAATAAACATTTCTAGGTGTTTTGAATAAACATTTCTGTCAGTGTTCTGTCTGGAATGTGTATCTTTGGACCTTTTATACTCCCAGATTCTCACAGCAACTTCCTTTATTCTATGTAGCCAGTAATGAGGTGTCAAATCCAGTGTGGAATTATTCTGGATTCATGAAGCCATGAAGCTGTGTCCTCACAACTTACTCTTCTCCTCCTGGTGGTTGCTGTCTTTCTTGAACCCTGCCTCTGGGCAGAGACTTGGGGGTCTTGCTGGTGAAGACAAAGGCAGCACTGGACTTCCCAGTTCTCTCCATTTTCCCTGTCACTATGGAACAATTCCAGGCCTACGTTTTCCTTGTTGATTTTGCTCTTGTCCTTGCATCTGTAGAAACTCTTCTTGTTGCCCTAAATCGTCCCTTGCTAGTTGGAGCTCCAATTGAATTTTTTTATCCTAACACACTGGTGCAATGTTTTTAAATTCTTCCTCTTTAAGCTGGTTTTCCTTCTGCTTTCTGTATACTATTTGTTTGTTTTGGTTTGGTTTGATTTTGGTGTGTTGCAGCTCAGTCCTAATATCCTTCTTTACCATGTGCCTTCCTTAAGCTGTTTCAAAGATACTGAACTGATCAGGGTGAGGGGGTGGCTCTGTAACACATTCCTGGCACTGTGCCACATCATCCTAATGATCATCGGTGATCCACAAGCTCTTAGCAAAAATGTTGTTCATATACAGAATAGTTTCATGCATTCAAGCAGCTTCTTCACATGGAGAAAAACTCTCCTCCAAATTTTACCTTTCTGTCTTTATTAATGAGCCCTTCATTCGTTGGAGACCTCTGGTTATGTGAGCTGTCCCACTGTGTTTCAGTGTTCCCAAGGATGTCACTGTTCTGCATCTAATGCAGTTCCTAGTTCCTTCTTTTCCCAGTTTTACACATAAACACTGAGGCAGGCTCCCTTTTGAGTTGTTTTATCTTCATTATAGGTATCTTGCTACCATCACCCTGCTCCATTTACGTAGCAACCCTCAACTCAATTCCTTAGTGTAAGCAGTTCTTGCCATCCTCCAAGATACCAAGTTTCTCCTCATCAGATTCTCAAACTTATTGGAAAACACACTCTTACTTTGTTGCTCAAAGAGGAAGCCATGGTGATTAAAGCCAAAGCAGGAGCACCATGCTCCTATCACTGCTGAGGTACAAGAGGTGGCAAGGCAGCAATTCACCTGCCCTGCTCAGCTTCCCATCCCTGCAAACGTGCTGAGAGAGGGCTGGATCTACTGTTTGTGTCATTGGAGAAACCATGCAATAACCCCAGGGCCTGTCCCAGGAGGAAGCAGCTCCTGGGATGCCTCTGTGCTAGAGCAGGACAGAGATGGAAGAGGACAAAGCAAACCCCAGCTCCCAGCCCCCCAGCCCCTTGCCCAGTTGGCTGAACACCAGGCCCTGAGCGGGCACTTGGTGAGGGCAGTAGGTGATTCAGTCCTGCCCCTGTCAGGGACTGAGGAGGAGGGGACTTTGTCAGAGTGGAGGAAGAGCGGGAATCTGACATGGATCATGAGCTTTCCCACTGGGGAGATGTTAGGAGCTGCCAAGAGATCTCTGACTGGGAAGAGTCTCTTGAGTGAGAGCTCTGCCAAGGAGATGTCAGTAGCTGTGGAGAGCTCTCCAGCTGGGATGAGGAGAGCAGGAGCAGAGCAGGGAGAAGCCCTTAGCTACCAACAATTTTCTATCAGGAAGAATGCAAGGAGCAGGGGCTGTCCCAAGGAGCAGTCGGAAGAACTGACAAGAATCATCTGACTGGGAGGACTCTGTTGGCCAAGAGCTTTCCAAAGAGGAAGACTCCACTGGCCAAGAGTTCTCCCAAGGCAATGGTAGCAGACCCTCTGTTCAGTCCAGCTGGGACAATGATGGTGACAAAGAGCTTGCTCAGGACAACTGGGAGCATGTGAGCATCCACAGCAATGGGGTCAAGCCCTTGCTGAGGGAGAAGGACATGGCACAAACTGAGCTTCTTTGAGCTGAGTGAAGAAGAAGATGGGGAGCAAAGGCTGGGAGTTTTTGCAGCAGACGGGCTCCCAGTGCCTGTCCCTCAGAGGCCTGGGTTGAGCACAGGGCTTCTCCCTCCTTCAAGTAGCAGGTGCCAGAGGCAGGGACAGAGAGCAAAAACAATGAAAGTTTCATTTGAGAAATAGTAGTAGTAAGAAAAGAAAACCCACAAAAAAACCCCAAAAACAAAAACAAAAAACCCCACCAAAACAAAACAAGAAAACCACCCAAAACCCACTAAAAATCCCCCCATAAACAAAACAAAACCACACAAAACTCCTCTCCCTCCACAAAAAACCCAAAGAAAATAAGAATAGGAGTATGAATAAGAGTAAGATTAAGAGGAATAAGATGATTAAGAAATATTAGTAGCAAATTATAATAATTATAAGAAGAAAAAGAATAAGAAGAAAAGTTGAATAAGAAGAATAAGAATAAAACAATAAAGAAGAAGAAATCATTGTAGTAGTAAAGACGATGATAAAGAGGAAGAAATATTAAAAAATAAGAAGAAGAACAACAAAAAGAATAAGGATAAGTTGAATAAGTGTTATAAGAAGAACAGGATTAAGAATAATAAGAAATAATAGTAGTACTAATTAATAACAATTAGAATAAGAAAAACAATGAGAAGAACAAGAATTACTAAGATGAAGAAAAAGAAATACTAGTAATAGTGAATAAGAATAATAAGATGAAGAAGTTGAAATTGTAGTAGCAAATAATAATATCAAAATCCACATCTTCTAGAATCACAGAATGAAGGGGAGGGCCTTAAAGATCATCTGGTTCCAGCTGATAGTCTTCTCTCTGTCTCTCACTATCTCTTTCTCTGTGAGACCCTTTTGCTATTTCTTTCTACCTGTCTACCTCCCCTTTCTTGATAAATAAACTCCATGTTCAGTATTGCCCACATATGGCCTCCTTTGCACCTGCATTTGGGCAGAGGCCTCTCTCCCTCATGGGCTCATAACACCTGCTCAGGGTCCCTTCCAGCCGCCAGCATTCCAGGATTCTGTCAGCTCCTCGCTTCCCTCTTCTTCTTGCCTCTGCTTTGAGCTGGGAATGTGCTTGAGAATGTCCAGCCAAGAAGCCTTTGCTGTCTGCTCTGGGAGCCCATGTGGCTTTGGGACCTTGTCACCTGCACCTGCACAGCTCCCTCGAGCAGCAGGGCAGAACCAGCACCCCGAGGGACTCGGGAATTCCCCTCTGTGGTCCATGGCACACACTGCAATGGCCTGGAATTCCAGTTTCCAGCAAGGAAAAGATGTTCCTGCCCTTTAAGGCAAAGCTCTGAAGGGGCTGAAAGCCAAGAGGAGCAAGATCTTACAATGACATTGCATGTGACAAGGTTTTATAACTTAATCAAGGGTTGTTTTAGCATGTGGATTGCCACAGGTAAAGACAGACACTATGAAAGAAGCATAGCTGGCAAAGAAAGAAAGGAGAGAAAAGACACAAATAGCACTAAGCTGAGATGGTGGCACTCTGAAATCCAAAGTGGAACTTCCTGAAAAAGAATGAGACAGAAATAAAGAAATCTGAAACTTTGGATAACTGTGCAATTTCTCCCTTTATCACAAACCTCCTCCTCATAACAACAATCATGCAGCACCGTTTTCAGAAAGTCCTTAGTTCTGAATTGATGTTGCAGGCTGTGGACACAATGAAACATGGAATGGGCTTTCTCCTCCTTCCAGTTACTTTGACATTCTCAGGAGAGGAGGCAGCAGGAAGAAAAGGGCCGCTTGCATTCATTCACCCTTCAATAAGACACGGGGCAGGGGGAGGAAAGGTCTGGTGATCTCTGTAGCTGTTCCCACAGGGATGTGAAGAACCAGAACCCCAAAGGTCACTTTAAGGGGTGCCTTCCTGCAGTTGTTGAGTATTGAAGGGCAGCACTGCAATTTTATTCACTGGGCTTTGCAATTCTGCCGCAAGCCAGGTGAGTAGGCCTCGGCCTCCTGGACGCAAAGATTGTGATCTTTCTTTTTTTAGGGAGAAAAAAAAGAAAGAGGAAACCTTTTGTTGTATGAAAACTGACCAAAACTCTGAGTTTGACACTGGTGTCTTTGGCAGGCCGCTGAATGCCTCTCCTGGCCCAGTGTCCCTAAGGAAAGTCCCCCTCAAAGGGGCCTGGGCACATCAGGGGCTACAAGTGCCAAGTCTGGGGCTTCTCCGTGCTGCTTCCAGAGGCATCGGCTGTGGAAGGGATGTGGGGTGTGGCCCTTTGTGACACAGGTGTGTGGTGCCAGGGCCTGTGGCGATGCAGGACACGGTGGCACCCAGAGGCCCTTGTGACACGGCAGACCCCGCCCTGCCAGAGGGGAGTCTGAGGGTGTCTGAGGGGTGCAGAGCCCTGGGGTGCCCAGTCCCAGCAGAGCCGCTCTGCCAGGAGGAAGCAGCTCCCCTGAGAGCCTCTGTGGCAGAGCACGATGGAGCCACTCACAAAGGAGGTGAACCCCAACTCCCCTCCTGCCACGGAACAGCGGGGCCGGCGCATGAAACCCCAGGTGAAGGCCAGCCATGGAGGGAGAGGGGACAGAGAGATCTGGCATGGGGCCGCAGGCAGAGGCCTGGGGGCCAGGGCCGGGCCAGTGGCTGTGGCAAGGCGGTCGCCTCCTTCCCCCACAGCCTGGGCAGAGAGGCAGGGCCATGCCCCACACAGGACCTGGTGGCCCTCCAGCCGCCGCCATGGGTGGCTGGAAGCCCTCAGGGAGCAGGGGCAGGGGGCAGTAGGGGGTTCAGAGCTGCCAGGGCCACAGACTGTGGAGTGGGATTTGGCCAGGAAGGAGAGAGAGAGGAAACCCTATGTGGGCTGGGAACTGACCCAGTGGGGAAGGGAGAGGGGCCAGGAGCTAGAGAGGTGGGAATATGAGAGATA